AAGCAAAATGGTTGCTGAACAACGTGAATTAGCTGTTGTTATCTGATAAGATCGATCTATTAACCTCTTCGCATTAGACGGCTATAGAAATTAATCTCTATGCATAGATAAATACTTGTTTCAATTGTATTTAATCCCACCTATAGCAAAAGGAACAGTGAAATAGATTTGTCTAAATCAAATTGCTGGTTGCCATGTCTACAAGTAATTGCATTAGAGCTGCTTCTGCCGAAGCAATATTTAAACGTTTTTAGGGAGAGCCGAAAAAATTTGCAAAGTAACATAAATTTTGTCAAGTCACCTTTAAAATAGAGGAATTTCCTTCTGGTTTGGGCCAGCCTGAGCCCCATTTCATCAACTAGTGGGGCTAATAAAAACAAAATCCTAATTTATTAAAATAATATAATTTCTTTGGCACAGCAATGGCATCCGCTATTGCAATAAGGCCAACATCAATACTGGAGTGGGCAGCAATAAAACCTAAACCTGTCATATGCTAAGATTTTTCGGGAGAACACTTTGGTTCAGTATCAAGTTTATGATGCAAACAATTAATCGCTGATTGACACTAAGAAACACTTTCATTGTTCTGTTGCAGCCACATTAGTAAGCCGGCGGTAGTTGGAATTGATATTGTCTATGATATGAGAAGATGATAAATATGATGAATACTAAAAAAGTTAGTACCAACTCCCCCAGTGCCTAAAGTAAACTAACACGATTACGCAAAGTGTAAACAGGACTTCTTCTGAAGTTCTAGCAGGCTTTCATTTTTTGCACTAGCGGGAATAGTAAAGAGTTTGGAATACTTAGGCGAAATCCAAGCAAACAAATGTATATATATGCCTAAATAATATTTCTTTAAGAACTGTGATCATCCTATTTCGGTTATGATAATCAAGGATGCTTCCGATGCTTTTCATATAACCTTGCGCTTTCACAAAGTTATTATCATCCATGCTGGACTGCAGGTTCAAGCTTGTGGTGGGACTGTCGATGAAGCAAAGTTGTATTTGCTATGGCAATCGACTACATTACTCATAATTCGTTTCATAAGTAGGCTTTCAAGAAAAACCGGAAGACTGGATAAGCGGCATTACTTCTAATTTTTGCACCATTTGTGGGCTTTACTAATCAGGGATATATAAACAGTCAAGAACATGTCTAAAGATGTTATAATTACAATTTTATGTTTTAAAAGTTGATTTGAGGAATCACATCGACTATTCAACTCGGTCTATTTTCATTTTACCTAAATGTGGTAGTAAAGCCAAACGACTACAGAACGGTGGTCTTCTGGTTAGATCTAACTGCGATTCCCTTCATCTGTCATCTTTACAAGTAGTGAAAATCAACGCAAGAGATTCATCAAAACCCAGTAAGCAACCTTTCATATATTTATATAAGTGAGCCTTATAATTTCTGCTACTTTTGCCGGAGGACTACAGGACAGAGGTGACTTTCGAAGACCGGCATTCCCATATTGTGTTTGTGGTAGGATTTTCGATTGAGAGAACATGCAGCTTTTACGTGGAATCCACTGAACTCGTGAGTCCTAATCGTAGCATTGTTGGAAAATTAGGCCATTCTTTTATGCAACTCAGCTCTTGTCCAAGATCCACTCATGGTCTAGAAATCCACAAACAATGAATATAAAAAAGGAGTCCTTAGATTAAATTTCTCAGAGCTCTCCACAATTGACTAGCTCAAAGGCTGCGATATAAAATTCCATCGCTTCTTCCACTGAACCCATTTGTCACAAGCACCATCTTCATCTTGTCAGTGCGAAAGTTGAAGAAAACCGCCTGAACTTCGGATACCTCATTTGCATATATGTCTAAGAGATTGCTATTGATGGGAATTAGTCTGCCTGGCCTCCATATGGTAGTCACAAAGTCAGCATTTTCTTATGGAAAAATCAAATAAAAGGAAGTACCACAAAAGCATATCTTTGAAAGAATCTCTCCCGGACAAATTTTGCCAAAACTATTGCTATTAATTTGTTTCTAGAGTGACCTGACACCTGCATTTATTAAGTTACAAGGCACACTATGTATATATACGCGAAATAGAAAATGGCCAACGATAGAGGAAAATATAGGCATATCAGATGGATATGAGTTTGATCTATTCCTCAAAAGAAATGCTCGCTTTCTCGGCCAACTTTGTGATGAATTCGCATAGGTTGAGCATAATGGAGAAGCCTTTCTCTTCCTCTTTATTTCTCACAAGATCAGGGTTTTGCCGCGAAAATCTCGGGCACATTCTGGAAATTAGATTTGGACTGCAAGAGAGGGGAAGATATTGTTGTACAATACACTTCCGTCCTCTAAGTGAATTGTTGAAGCCCTCGATACGAGCTGGTTGGCTTAAAGAGGGTGTATGAAGGTGTACGAGAGTCTACGAGGCAGACTCTTCCGTGTCGGAGGCCTGCAAAACCTGGTCGTCCCATGGCCACCGGCCAAATTTCCAGTAGTACCGGGCGTCTGAGTAGCTTCCGTACTTCTCCTGCTCTGCTTGTACATCAACAATGTCGGCCTGGCCGAGCAGGAAGCCCATGTAGCCGAGACAGACTCTGTTCAGGGCGTATTTGTCGCGTCCTGTGCCCGTTCGGTAGCACTCGACGGGGCAGACGAAGCAGCAGTAGGCGCACTGTTCGCACTGGGCCCTCGGCGAGGCCTGGCCCGGCATGAAGGTTCGGATCAGGTGCTCATGGAGGCCTGGATGGAAGGGCTTGAAGTAGACGTTGAGCCACTGGTCAATAAAGGCGCTCAGACGCCACAAACAAGGCACCAGACAGCAAAGGAAGCAGCACATCGCCTGAACAAATGCGTTGGTGGCTGCCGAATCGATCCATGCCTCCGTCCGATTCAAGTTGAACAGGTTCGGACGGCGAGTGCCTCAAGGGCCTGACTGATGGTGAACCTCGAGTCGGTCATGGCACTTCGCTGCCCCCATAACATCCTCGTCTGGCCGCATTCTCAGACGCTGCCTCGGCTTTCCAGGGCTACAATCTTCATTGGTGCCGATCTTAGACTCAAACAAGTTGTTCCTTTGCCGACTGGCCGTAGGTCGGGGCAAGAATTGTTGTCTTCTCATTTATATACTGATCACAGGTACAGATAAAACTCTGTTTATTTCTAGTTTCACGAATAGATCTTTCGAGACTACCAGTTGATCTGATCTTAGAGCTGTATTCACTCTAATTCTTATAAAGTTCGAGTCCCGCTGTCTGTGTTGATGAGACCCAAACGAGAACGAAACTATGGTTCACTCCAGCTTGGATTAGAATATCTTTTGGGAAGCAAGGTTATGTGAAATTCAATTGAGATGTAAGGTCTACCTTTATCATTGTGGGCAAATTCAACTATCAGTCCTTCATACGCTTATTCGAAATAAATTAACCCAGACTCTTATAAACTAAATATTATATTTTGACTAGAACTCCCAGACATATAAAAATCGTAATAAGCCAACAACAATGGAGCAGTGGTATTCAGGGCTAGATACAGTTAAATCGAAAGGTAGTATAACACCTGTATTTACGCGTTGACAATTGACTTTTCCCACTGATCTGTGTAGGCCTCAAGTTATCATTGCATTTTATAAAGCCCTGCCTCCCAAAAGTTATTTTCATCCAAGATAGACTGCATTTCTGACCTCTTCTAGATCCCATCAGCATCCCCTGCGGGACTCGAAATAGAGTAGCCTTGACATGTTAACCGCTAATCCAGACTGCCACGAGTGACCTTGGGTGAAAAGGTAGTCATGAATTTAAGTGAAGGCCAGGCCTTTGCTATACTATTTCAATGGCGGGAATGCTGATGAAGCAAAATTTAATTCACTATTGCATACAGAAATTAGCTTCCATTTATAAGAAGATTTTCGAGACTACCGACAGATCTTCTATAACTGATGTATTCATCCTATTTCGTTGAAATTCATTGGAAACGTAGGGTCCCTAATAGGATTGTGGACAAATTTAGCTACCGGTCCTTCTTCACCTTAAACATATAAGGTAAATATAGCTTTCAAACATGAGTTATTAGTAGTCTTAAGAACCTATCTACAAATGAAAAGTTTGAAAAGTTTCCCGCTTATTCATGTGAACATGATACATAAAAGCCTATAACGAAGGGTCTAGCGGAGGAAATTATTGCTAAGCTGAAGGATGCAATAAGGGATTGCGAAAGTGATGAGGAAACGGAACAGTGGAGCATGCACTCACTTTTACAAAGAGATGCTATGGCACCCAAGTATTGAAGCCTTACAAAGGTACAAGATAAGGGGACCCCTCTTTAATGAATTGCAGCTTACAATATAGGCGTAAAGCATATGTTCTCATTTTTTCTATACAGACCTTTAAGGAAAGGGACTGGATATTGGTTATAAATAGCAAAACCAAGTAACCTAAGAGAAATACATATAAATAAGCTTCGATGTGGTATCCATATTGACCGAAATTTTG